AAAGCACAAGGACTTATTTCTTGCCTTCCAGGACACAGTAGCTCAGGAAAACCTCAAGCATCTTAGCCCACAACATGAAGTAACCCCGGGGCAGTGGAAATGGTGGTGAAATATCCTTAGAAAGAGAAAGCACTGAGAGACCACCAGTCCTGACTCCCTGTGGCAGTCACATGATGTGAAAGAAATTCCCACAGCCCTACGGGACCCACCGAGGGATATACAAGGTGCCTAGGAGTCAGGAATGGCCTGATCTTTAGAGGAAGGTGGCTGAACTCCCAAGGTGCAATCATACTCCCTCCCCGCTTCTCCTTTCTGGGCTCTGATATCATCCAGGAAGAAGAAAGGAGGCCAGATGTTGGAGGAAACCTGAAAGAGGAGGTTTTTTTGTTTTTTTAAGTTTATTTATTTTGAGAGAGTAAGAGTGTAAGCACAAGTCAGGCAGGGGTAGAGAGAGAGGGAAAGGGAGTCCCGAGCAGGCTCCACACTGTCAGCACAGAGCTCGACACGGGGCTCGAACTCATGAACCATGAGATCACGACTTGAGGCGAGATTAAGAGTCAGACGCTTAACAGACTGAGTCACCCAGGTGCCCCAAGGAGGCAGTTTTACACCAGGTGTAGGACTCCTAACCTGCATCTGTGAGTCACCAAATAATTTGCACAAGTGACAGTTTTTTCATTAGAGCAATATATATAGTTATTGAGTTTTAAAGCTTGAAGGAACTTGAGAGATCATTGGCCCTTTGCTCTCATTTGATAAATATGGAAAGTGAAGCCCTGATTGATAATATGAGTTGGCCTATGTTTGGGAGCTTGTATCAGAAGTGGTGATTCCCACTGGCTCACCTTAAGACTGAGTCTTTGGTAGTCCTTTATGGTCCCAGCCTTCCAATGTTTTTTAGAATATAAATTCTCCCCACTCAATTTAGATGCTCTGCAATGTGTTTAGAATACCTTCAGTTTGGCTGAGCTGCTGATACCTCCAGAGTAGCCAGCAACACTGGACATTTTACACTGGTTTAACTGTTCCTGAAGAGAACAACAGTGAAACAAACTTCGTAAGCATTGGTATTAGGGATCATGAAAACACTTTACAGTAGGACTGGCCAATAGAATCTTCTGCGATTTTGGAATTGTTCTATATTGGCACTGTCCGATTTTGTGGCCACTGTCTATGGAGGCTTTTGAGCACTAGAAATGTGGCTAGTACGACTGAGGAACTGAATTTTACATTTTATTCAGTTATAAATTTTAACTTATCTATGAATAATCACATGTGGCTAGCGGATTCTGTATTGGACGGTATAGCTCTATAATATTCATAAAAATGAGGTTCCTCTTCTTTTTCATCACAGTTACAGGAAATTGGTTGAAGCCTTTAAATTTTGGCCTATATAACAATGTTTGCCTCAGATATTTTACTTCCCAATTCTCAAGGAGACAGTATTTTTGTATTGTGCCAGAACAACCCTCATTCTCTGGAAGATCAAACATGTTTCTTTGAAGGTCAAAGTTTGAGAATATCTTAGTTACTAGACCAAGACTTACTGGTATTAGTTATTTAATTTTTTATTTACTTTTCCTATGCACATGATTTTGAAAATTAAATTGTTTTAATAGATTTAATTTCTAAATAATGTTTTCCTAATTCCCCTACATTTTCAGATGATATTGGGTCTTCAGTATTACTATCTATTGCTGCATAACAAATCATCCCAAAACTTTGTGGCTTAAAATATCAACATAGTCATTATCGCAAGTTTCTGAGGATCTGGAACCAGGTAACAGCTTAGTTGGGTTCCTTGGCTCAGAGTCGCTCAAGAGGCTGCAATCAAGTCGTCAGACAAGACTGTAGTCATCTCAAAGCTCGACCAACGGGAGATGTTCTCCCAAGCCCCCTCCTACAGCTGTGGGCAGGTCTCAGGTCCTGGCTGACTGTTGACCAGAAGCATCAATTCCTTGCCACGCAAGGGTGTTACTCACAACAAGGCAGCCGGCTAGTGGCCGCTCTCCATTCCTTGCCACATGGGCCTCTACACAGAGCAGATCACAACATGGCCTCTTGTTTCATCAGAGAGAAAGCAAGAAAAACCAAAGAAAGAATGGGAGCAAAAAGCCTGCTCTTTTGTAATCTATTCTCAGAAGTGACATGCCATCCCTTTGCTGTGTTTTGTTAGAAGCAAGTCATCAGGTACAGCCCACACTCCAGGTGAAGGGATTAGACAAGGGGGTGGACACCAGAAGGCAGGAATCATTGAGAATAATGTGAGGAGCTGATTTCTGCAACTACTTTAAAGAAGGCTCTTTTTCTTGCTGGTCTAGGCAGTCCTGAATCTTAGCTTCAGGGTCAGCTCCACCCAGAGTCAGAGTGTGGGTGTGTCCAATGTCACCCACCTAGATAGTGGGGGAACTAGACCTAGAATCCAAGTCTCCTAAGAACCTGATCAGTCCTCTCTTTTCTGTCATACATGTTTGGTTAGGACTCCAGCACACCCACATGGAGCCCCACAACAGCAAGCAAAAGTATTTTGACTTTAAAACACAGGCACTAAGGTGTCTAAACAGAAGAGTGCTACGACAGAAATGATTTTTAAAGAAAGACTTTAGTATGATGTAAAGCGGTTTGGAGAGGGAAAGACAGGAAATTACATTAATTCCAATTTATTTACACTGAGCATATTTATGGCCTACAGTTTTGTAGTTTGTGATTGTAAAGACATCCCGTGTGTTTTCCTAAGTCCTAATAAAATGGTCTTTGAAAGACTTATTTGGGCCCCAAATTCATCAAGTAAAATGCTACATGGGAAAGTCTATGACCAAGTTTTATAATATACAATATTTCCCCATGTGCACATTGAAATAAACTCTAAAAGTTCTCTGGTGAATTTCCAGAGATGATGTTTTCTATTAACATAGGAAACTCCCGGGAGAGTCAGGACTCAAAAACCTTGAGAAGATATTGTAGCCTGTAAAATGTTTTAAAGTAGTGTCCTACGAAGTCTCTACCTCCAGCCATGACAATAACACACAAACTTGCATTTAAATGAGTAGGATGGTGTGGCAAAGTCTCCCACTTATCCTTCAATAGTCACCCTCTCCTTCTTTTAATAGTAAACTTTCTGATGTTTAGCTGGGCACATTGCCTAGTCAAGACTACATTTCCCAGCCTCCTTTACAGTTAGGCGCAGCCATTAAGACACAGTTCTGGCCAGTGGGTATGAGTGGAAGTGATGTAACTCATTCTGGTTGTGTCTTTAACTGGGAATGGTATGTGCTCCCCTTACTCCTTCTCCCCTCCTGATTAGGTGGTACGCAGATGTGATGACAGGAGCTGGGAGTTGTCAGAGGTGAAAGTTCCCATAACAGCCTTGAACCAAATTTCCAAGACAGTTAACATTTTCTTTCTTGCCTAACTCCCTGCGATTTGGAGTCTCTGTGTTAGAGCAGTTTAAACTATAACTTAACTACTATGATAACTATCCACCTTTCCTCTATCTTGGTTTTCTACCTAAAGTAATGACAGACACCTAGACAAAAGTGATAGGCAAAGGTGATAAGGAAAAGGGATATATTGGATCATATTAAATTCTTGTTATCCTCTCCTAGTTACCTGGGAAGCTACCAGGATCATAGTGGTAGTAGCAAACTCCTAATTATTCTTGCTATTTGACTTTACTCCCCCTCTTTATTAGCAAATAATTAAAGAAGCAATAATATTATAAGCTCAGACTTGCTAATGAGCCAAGGGTGCCTTTAAGTTTCCCTTTCTCAGGGTTGACTAGGGTCAGAGACTAGAGATCTATACAATTTGGTATTGATAAATGTTTAACACTGGCTCCCTAAGGAAAAACAAGCCCCAGTTGGTAGGGTTTGCCAATTTCCATTGTGTAAATACTCTCACTATGGCTGATTTCAAGCTAGGAATATGAGAAGAGATGTTCACATGTGCACCTTGCAAGGTAAAACTTGCTGGCTCCAGAACGCTGGGATCCATCTATCCATTGCCTCAGCCTGGGACTGCTCCCTGATTTCCTTACACTCTGCAGAAGGATGCTAACTTTACAGTGCTATGCACCAGGAACAGCAAAGACAATGTGGGGTGTGGCTCTGATGCTGTCGGAACTGCATCTGGGGCCTGGCCTTCATCTGATTTATGATGCTCTTGCAGTAACATTTCATCCTTTTGGTTCAAGTCAGTGTTTGGTAAACTTGACTACACACTGGAAACACCGGGGAGCTTTAAAAACTAGCAATGCCTGGGGACCAGCCTTAGAGATTCTGGTTCAATTGATCTGGGCCAGGACTGTTAAAAGCAGATATTTTAACGTGCAGCTAAGGTTGAGAACTGCTGGTTTAAAGTAGTAGACCCCTTATTTACATAGACCCCTTATTTATCCCTTATTTGCTTTTGGCATAAAAAGGAAAAGTCAACCTAGGTAGCCTGGCAAAAAGGGAAGAGGTCAATGGCAAGGCCAGGACCGTTTTCTTAGTGAAAGAGAAACCTGAGCAGAAGAGGTCTGTGTTCTGTCTCCTCTGTGGGTCCTACAAAGAACCTTAAATATTATTCTTCTGAAGACTTAAAATAAAAAACAAAACACTACTGAGCCTTTCTTTTTAGTTAAAAATTTAAGTAAGCATAGGAAATGCTGAAATCCTGGGAAGCTGTTATAGATCATTTAATAATCTCTCTTCTGTTTTGAATTTATATAAACTGCTATCTTCACTGTGAGATCTGGTTCCATTTCTTTACATCCACATTAGGGGTAGATGCTAAACTTCCTGGTATTTAAAAATCAGCAGACATCCAGGTTGTGTAGTTTTTGACCATTAAGTTAACCTCTGCAGTAAGCTGTGATGAGAATTTTACAAATTGATAAAATTGCTAGTTTACTAATGAATCATCTTTCATATAGCATTATTTCATACAATAATCAATACAAGTCCATGTGTAAATGCACATACAATATAAGCAAGACACTAAGGATCTGTTGGGCCCAGCACCTGGTCAGGAGACGGGCAGCATGAGACGGTGAAAGAACACAGGAGCAGAAAGCCCAGGGCTCAGCTTGGCGCTGTTCATGTCTGATGCAGTTTCCTGAGTCATAAAAAGGAGCACATAGAACAGGATTACTTTGGCCTCTTCAACTTTAATATTTTGATAAGGTATCCTGAGACTGAAATCCATCAGAGGGTCGATCAACCACACAGGTTCAAAGAACCAAAGAGGTTCTTTCCCCTAGGTTTGGCAGACATTGACAAGCTCTGAGAGTGCATGTCTATTTCTAGAGCTTTTCCATCCTGAGCTTATATTCTTGCTAAATCAGGTATTGCAAATAGGTTTCATCTCCAGGTCCAGTCCAGTTGACTAGTAGTGGTCTCCCAAAGCACTCTGTTGGGCAGGATTCTGAAGCCGGGAGCAGAGTTGGTGCCATGAGTTAAGAGTGCCATGAGAAATGAAGATGGTCTTGGGTCTGAAAGGGGTAAACCAGCAGTACAGACATATCATGTGCCATCTGTGCTCCCAATCTTTTCATTTAGACCAGTGTTTTCTTCATCTCTCATCAGGTACTTTGGAAGTGAAATGAATCTTGGGACTCTGTACTCTTGCCATCTTTGGCTCGGAAAATTTAGTCCATTATCAAAGCAGAAAGGGATCTGAAAGTAATTCAACCCAAACATTCGGCTACTTACTGAGTCTTTGACAAGCAGCTTCAATTTAGGTAAAATCTTTCTAATAACCAAACAACCAGCAGTTGATTCACTTCAACAACTAATTTATTTAAAGAAAAATAAACGTTATTTAATATTATTTTGGCTAAAACAAAAAAAAAATGCTTTTTGATTCTTTGGCTCTTAAGCTAGTCCCATTAGGCACAGTCTACAAGATAACAGAAATCGTGACCTTCCCTCTCTCCCACCTCCTTAGCCTGGGTGGCAGCATTTTTCCCTTCAGGCTGTGTGACACCACAGCATGATCTGAAAAGTAATTAACTACTTTAGAAGTTAATCCAGCATATACTTTGAAGCAGAAGCAATTCCATTCCTAATGGTTGCTTGGCAGATTGATTCTTACTTCTGGCTCTCGAAACGGTATATAGTAATTGCCCCAGAATTTAAAAATCATCTGGGGAATTCCTTCTTCCACATCTAGGGTACAAATAGCTAATGACTTTGACATGTAGTGTGTGTGTGCATGTGTGTGTGTGCGTGTGTGTGTGTGTGTGTGTGGTGGAGGAAGGGGTTCTGCTGCTTTCTAAGCAGTGCCTTGAAAATCACTAGATAATAAGAAAGTTGTCTCTTCTCACTGTAAAGACCTGAACAATCCTTACTTGACTGGATTGCAAAACTGAGCTTCAAAGGTAGTAAAATGATCACATGTAGAGAGAAATCTTGACGGGGTAGGTCTTCTCAGAGCGGATGCGCTCTCACTTGGGTACTCTGGTTATAGAGTTGCCTGCTTTCCTGTTGGTTTTGGTGGTGGTGTTACTGCTTGTAGAACAGTGCTGTGACGTCTTCAGAGTAACAACTCAATCACTTTGTAAACTAACCACTCACCTCTGGATCAGAAGATCTTACTTGAACACTGTTCTCATATGCTGACTTCATTTTATGCCCATATTGATTCGATCATTACACTATGCTCTGCACACTACCCTTCCTAAACTTGCTACATTCCCTGTGATTGGGGGAGTGGGTCAGACCCTCTTTCAATCGTTTCCATCTTCTCCAACTTTAGAGTCTCCTATAGCACTTGACACCCAAGAAAGACCTCACTGAATAGTCTGCGAATCAACTATCATGATGGTTGTGTTTAGTTTATGTTCGTTATTTATACTCTGTCCCTCTTCAAGAACTGAAGATGATTCAGATGGGATTTTCAGCTATTATCAGTTATCCATCAATCAATATAAATCGTTGAGCTGTCAGGTAGACTTCGTTTGAAATATTAAAATTATGGGGCGCCTGGGTGGCTCAGTCGGTTAAGCAGCCGACTTCGGCTCAGGTTATGATCTCACGGTCCGTGAGTTCGAGCCCCACATCAGGCTCTGTGCTGACAGCTCAGAGCCTGGAGCCTGTTTCAGATTCTGTGTCTCCCTCTCTCTGACCCTCCCCCGTTCATGCTCTGTCTCTCTCTGTCTCAAAAATAAATAAACGTTAAAAAAAATTTTTTTTAAGAAATATTAAAAGTAATTGAACTAATAAATTATTCCCAAACTGGAGATGAATTTCCGATTTGGGGATAATTAAAGGAATCTGTAAGAAAACAGAAAACTCAGGCCTTGCTCTCAAGTTGGTTGCAGTTTGGTTGGAGACAAGACTGATGTGCATGAGACACCATGTACAACAGGAGGCATTTGACTGCAAAGTCCTAATCACACTCTGTAAGTTAGAAAGGAGCATGATCTCGGAGGATGGTTAATGAGTGAAGGCTTCAGGGGTGAGGTAAACTGAGTCAGGTATTAAAGAGGAACAAGGTTTGGAAAGGCAAAAGGAGAAGAACAGACATTCTGCGTGAGGTGTTGACAAGGGTGAATGCATGGTGAGAAAAAATAGTATGGCCCGGGAGGTGGTCAGCCTGTCTGCAACAGGGGTTTGGAATACCGTGGTAATTATGTAAACTTGATGGGTAGGGGTCCAATTACATCGGGGCTTGTGGTCAGTGCAATAGAAAATAAGGAGCCCCTGAGGGATTTTGACCCAGGGAGTGACATTATAAAATGGTGTTTTCAGATTCTATTTCTGGCAGTGATACATGGGATGAAGGAAAACTAGGAACAAGGCAGCCGAATTGACTTAGCAGTGAGGGAAAACAGGACATTCTGACTACAGTGGAGGCAATGGGGACAGAGGCAAGAGATAATTCAAAAGAAATTTCAACCAGTCTCGGTGTCTGGCTAGATGTGGAATAAGGATGGAGTAGGTCAAGGGTAAATCTGAAGGTGGGTGAGCATTGGGGTAGGGGGTTCAATGACAGAACCTGGGAAGTCAGAGGAGGAATTGTCTTTGAATGTGTGGAATTTGAAATGACAGCAAGCAGGGTGAGGAGGTGACACTGTAGGAGAAAGCAATGCAACTTTGTTTTGAAACCTGAGTCTAAGTCATTTAACTTCACTGACAAGGAGAATGGTACCTGACTCACGTGGCTGAAGAACTGAGGAACTCTGGTAAGAATGTCAAAGTGTTTTGTAAAGTGCTACCCAAATGTACGCCTTCAGCATTTTACTACGTGTGCATCTTCTCCCCGGCTGCATATGCTAAAGTAGACGCAACACTGAGGCTCATGAATGTCACGCTGGTGTGTTTTGAGGTCTATCGTTTCTGGTGACAGAGAGACTGGTTGGGAGGCCTCAGCAGCGAAACAGGTAAGAGATGAGGAGGAGCATCTGGCCCAGGGCAGTAACCACACAGGTAGAACTCAGTGGACTTACATGCTTTCCAGGAAGAAGAATGGATTGGATGTGGGAACTGAGTAAGAGGGAGGATTCTAGGATGACATCCGGGCTTCTGGTCTGGGCAACTGACAGCCTGTGGTTTAAATCACTGAGGAAGAAAAGATTGGAGGAGGGGCAAACTTGATCAGGGAGGAATATTCTGAGTTTAGTTTGGACACTGTAGTGGGTAAAATAATGCCCCACCCGAAGGAGTCTATATCCTAATTCCCAGAACCTGTGAACATGTTACCTTTCATGGAAAAGGGACTGTGCAGATGTGATTGAAGATTTTGAGATGAGAGTATCCTAGACGGTCTGGGTGGACCCTATGTCCTTCTGAGTGAAAGAGAGAGGCAGGAAAGTGAGAGAACAGGGGAGAAAGATGGGCCATTGCTGGCTTTAAAGATGGAGGGGGCTGCAAGCCAAGGAATGTGGGGGGCCTCTAAAGGCTGGAAAAGATAAGAAATAGCTTCTCACCTAGCACTTCCTAAATGAAACACAGCCCTGCTGAACCTTGATTTTAGCCAAGTGAAACTCGTGTTGGACTCCTGACCTTCAGAACTGTAAAATAATACATTCTTAATACTTAAGCCACTAAAGTTTGTGGAGATTTTTTACAGCATCGATGGGGAACTAATATAAACACATTTGAGATATGTAAGAGTCATCTAAGTAGAAACCTAGGACAGTTTTATATTGAGGTCTGGGCTGGGATTATAGATTTGCCTATAATTAGTCTTTAGCCCATGTCATATATATATATATATTAACGTCTCTGAAATCAGGATGTATCTTACAATTGATAATATCTTATAATTGTTGTCAGACAACAGATGTGTCATCTGTGCATGTCCAGGTGGCTGGACTAGACAAATGTAACCTCTGGACATTCCAGTCAACAAAACACAAAGACTACTTGAGAAAGGTATGTGAGTCCTGTTGTTGTCGAAAGACTTTCTGTTAATAAGTTTTGGTAAGATCATAAAGGGCCAATATTAAAATTTTCAGAATGGGTGTCAACGACTTTGAGGAAATTCTTAGAGACATTACTAATTCTTTTAAGCAATGCTGATTTATCAATATTCATGATAGAACAAGAGACAGAATTGTGATGGAAAAACAAAGATGAATTTGAGTCAAAAAGTAGCTCTGAGGACTTGGATTCTGAAAAATTGTAAATAATACATTAACCAATATACTGTGCTTACATTTCCTTTTTATACATGCACGAAAGTCTAAAAGAACTTTTTTAAAGTTATGAAATTAAAATCTTAAGTGATGAGAGAGCATCATGTCAACCTAATTAACACCATACTTCTGTATTCATAAAATAATGGTGAATCTTACTGAATGGAATCCTAAACTTGACAGTCTTTATAGCTACAGAGATGGGTGAAATGATTCAGAAAATACAGAATAATAAGAGTGGAAGATTCATGGAAAAAGTCTCAGAAATATTACCAGCAAGTAATTTGAAAAGATGTATCTAGAGCCATAAAAATATTTATACTCCTGACTCCCATTTTGGGTAATTCATCCCCAGAAAGTCATCCAAAAGAATAAAAAAATAATTAGACAATGGAAGGTTACTTCCATGAGTCTGGGATGACAGTATCAGAAGCTGGACTATGAACCTGAGTCCCAGCCCTCTGACATTGGCAAG